GTTCTATCAAATCCAAGATCCTGGCACATATACCCAGCTTATTCTTGAAACAGCTGTCATAGAAATCCTCTCTCTTCCCGTAACTACATCCCAGATTGTAACTTCACTTGTTCAAATTGTTGTTCACATACAACCAACTTTGGTTCAATCTAGCAATGGGTTACATGGAGCTTCTAGTGGCGTTGGGCAAAGTTCTGTTTTGCCCACTTCTCCTTCCGGAGGAAGCACTGATTCATTGGGTGCAACCAGGACTACTCCTTCAGCTTCAGGAATAAATACGTCAAACTTTGTTTGGCGAAGTGGTTATACATGCCAGCAGTTATCGTGCTTGTTGATCCAAGCTTGTGGTCTTCTTCTAGCACAGCTTCCTCAAGAGTTCCACGCTCAACTCTACATGGAGTCGGCCCGTGTAATAAAAGATAGTTGGTGGCTAGTAGATGGTAAAAGGTCAGTCAGTGAACTAGAATCGGCTGTAAGCTATGCTTTGTTAGATCCCACATGGGCTGCCCAGGACAATACCTCAACAGCCATCGGTATGCTTTTCTTGAATTTCTTTCTTTCCCTTTTCTAGTTATGTTTCTCAATATTGTTTTAGCTGCCAAACTAAAGCACTATCCACTATTGGCCACTAGAATTTTCTTTTATCATCATTTAGATCGTTCCTACAACTCTTATATATACTTCTATCCTTATCCAAACTCTTATACTATATAATCAGAACAAATAAAAGATGTGAACGTGAAGTGCTTGCAAGGCTAAGCTGTTAAGTGCCTGTAAGTAGAGGAGGCAAGGAATATGTGATTAAAAAATGAAAATGATGATTGATTAGCGTATAAGCACTTAAAAGATTTGCCAAACATGCACAAGATTGTGGCCCATTGACTGGTTCTGAATTGCTATATTGTTTATTCATCTATTATATGATCAGAAAAAAATTTTACTTTCTAATTTCATTCAGGTGGAACCTGATTTACTATGGAAGCTAAGGTTGCGGTTGATTCATTTTTTTATTTTCCATTTTCGGTTTCAAAATGGTTTTTAGTTTTCTCCGAAAACGCCGCGTTTTGGATATTTTCCGCGTTTTGAACATTTATAACTGAAAATGCTCAAAACGATAAAAAATCGTTTTGCGTTTTCGAAGACTCATTTTCGAAAATGAAAATGACGAACCAAATGCGTTTTCCACATTTTTGAAAATGGAAAAAGGCCCGAAAACGCCAAACCAACCTCAGCCTAAATGTTGACTATAATTCCATTTGAGCAGGCTAAATGAATAAGTTAGCAAAAGTGGGTAAACAAGATTAGTTAATGATGGTAAAGGATATTCTAACACGTCTGACAACGTTTCAGTTGACCACCACTGCCACATGACCATAATGAATAAAATTATTTACATTTAAGCTACACGATATTTTCCGCACTTGAACTGATACCTGTTACATACACAGGTAATGTGGTGGCTTTGCTTCATTCTTTCTTCTCCAACCTTCCACTGGAGTGGCTAGACGGAGCGGATCTCATCATTAAGCACCTCAGACCCGTGACATCAATAGCAGTGTTGAGAATAGCTTTCCGGATTATGGGTCCATTGCTTCCAAGATTGGCCAATGCTCACACCCTCTTCACTAAGGTATGTAAAGATGTTATGAGCTTTGCCAGTTTTATTTATTATTATTATTATTATTATTATTATTATTATTATTGTTTTCTTATTTTCTTCTTGCCATTTTCTCTCGGTAGAGGCAAAGAACCTTCTAATAACCTTGTTATTTAAAGATGTTAAATTTAATCAAGCGATCTTGCAAAGATGGAATTGCAGATTGGAGCAGAAAAATATATACTTCTCACGAACCACAGAATACCTTAAAATTCATGAAAAAAATGCTACTTTTCTAGCTAATCGATAAGCAATGTCCATGAAATGGTTGCGGGAGCAATTAAAATAAATGACGAAAATTTAATCCCTATAATATTTTGCTACTGATGGTTTTGTTTTTGTCCATGCCATAATCATTGTACTGTCAGACATTATCGCTGCTGCTAAACGTCATGGTGGATGTTTTCGGAAGAAACTCACAACCAACCGCCCCTATTGAAGCATCAGAGATATCAGACATCATAGACTTCCTGTAAGATCATTATTCTCCTCAAATAACATGTGTCGTTTGCGCTCCTGCATATTACTCGCTAATTCTAATACTATCGAACCACTTCTTTTGACAGCCATCACGTTGTTCATTATGAAGGGCAGGGAGGACCAGTGCAGGCAAACAGCAAACCCAGAGCAGAAGTTTTGGCTCTTATTGGACAAACAGCAGAAAATTTGCGTCCAGACGTACAGCACCTTCTTTCTCACTTGAAAGCTGATGTAAACTGTTCTATATATGCGGCAACTGATCAAAATTCGTCCAAAACAATGCATGACCTGCCGTAGAAAGCTCTCCATTTAAGGTTTTGCCACTTTGCCGGAAAACTTTAACAGATGCTTTGACATAATTTGGTGTGGCAAAAGATGATTTGATAGGAAAGCTGACAGTGTTCAAAGAATCTGGTACTATAGCATGATATATCTATTTATGCTGTTTAGGGGATGGGCACTGCCTTTAGGTTCAAGTTATATATAGTAACAGTTCTGTATAAGTTGTTGGAGCTTTGGGACAGTCCATAAATTTTAAACATGGGAAAAAGATGTGTAAATTGCTTTCTCTGCCTCGTGAAAGATTACTGTATTTGTATAAATATGAATACTTACAATAAACGAGAATCTGTGCCTTATTTCAAAATGTTATGATAAAAAAAGGCAAAAAATATTTTGTTATTAATTTTTCTTTAACCCAGGAATATAAGGAAACTATAAATCTTTAAAAAGTTTGAATCTAATCGAATAGATGCAGGTGTGTACGTACCCATGTTTGAGCTTCATTCTTTAGAAACTTTTTTTTTTTAGAACTCATTTTCAACTATACACTCTAATAAAATAATTTTACTCTTAAATTCAAAACGTTTTCTTACTTTTTAATTATGCATCCTTCAAAAAATTATTATTATAGAACCTATATTCCTAAAAAATGGAGCTAAAAAAAACCCTATTACACAGTTTGCTTATGAGGCAGATTTTAAAATCACCTATTTTATAAATATGTTAAAGAGAGAATAGATTATGAATTATCACTTTTCTTAATAAATGCTAATTTCAATATAACATATTGGTAATCCTACAATATGTCATAGAGGATGCAGCTTGATATAACAAATATCTTCATTAGTCGAAAGCAATGTTAACAGAGTTAATAACAATATAGATGAAAACCATTCACTGAAGATTACTTGCTCTAATCCGTTGCCCGAGCACTGAAGAAACATGGAGGTGGAGCTGTGTATATCAAGATTCAACGGAGACAATGTTGGCCGATAGGTGTGTATCAGTGATCACCAATGGTATGATGGTTGATTAAAATCAAAATCTATTGATGATTTAAACAGAATTATCAACGACAATACATTAATAATTGGTCGACATACTTCCGTGAGCGATTCTCGTCACAATTTTATTAGCAATATTGTCAAGAATCAACGAGGCTTCAGTTACTAACAAGAAGCTGTCAGTGGTGGCGATAGTACTGTTATTATAGAATATGATCGAGATCAATATATATTAGTTATTTAGACAAAATTGCTGACAGCGATATCGAGACTGATCACCGACTCACATTCATCAGTGATTAGCAACACTGATGCGGTCATTGAGGGAGAGTCATCGGTGTCACTAAATTGCTAAATGTTTCAGATTAATTAGATGGTCAATACTTAAGGGTTGGAGACCAGGATGTACAACTTCAACAAGTTGGTACCTCTACTGCAATTTTCCCTATGTAAAATTGAATAAACTTTTCTTTTGAGAAAACATGATCTTTCGGAATTGACTAAAAACATTTGGAGTAAATTGTAAAAAGAGTGTCATTAATCGTAGTCTCTTGTTTGAATTTTTCTAGAGCTATCCAGAGGTATCATTAAAGATCAAAGTTTTCTAACCGTCCTTCAAATTAGGATGTCACACATATTGCTTATATGTTTACGTGTCTTACTTTTTAATGTAAAATAAGAAAATCTCAAAACTTTCAAGGTGACAAGTCTTTTCACTTACAAATGAAAGTGTTCCTAAGCGAAAAATGATATTTCTTCTACTGAATATAATTATTTCGAACTCCTTGTAGACATGCAAACTGATATCAAGCTAAAAGAAAAGTGTTGTGAAAATTGTCGTGGAGTTATTAAAATATTTAGTTGAATTATACCATGTCCCATATTGCCTACAAATTCATTTGTCTCGGCTCTATATCAAATACACACTCTCTTTCGTGTATCTAAAATTCAGTCTTTTAGTAGATTTTGATAAAAGTTTATGAAATGTGTATTAAAAACCCAAATGATCAAAGAACTTCGTATTTGTTTTTAAGTGCAAATATATTTTTTCTTCTCACCTACTAATTTTTATATATTAATAATACTAACATCAAGTGGGTGGGGGCTGTGAGCTTTATTGAGAATAAGGGAATAAAGTAATGGTGAGATGATATAAAGGATATTATGGTATCAATCTGCCATATTCAAAGAAGCCATGAAACAATAACAAAAGTGAAAGGATAATTGATGAAAGAGAAGATTCTACACACTTTTATATACATTTTGAATGACCCTTTGTAAAAGGTGGGGAGTATTGTCCAAAATCATTAATGTTTGCTAATGGCTAATATAATTGTTTATAATATATAAACATTAGAAAAATTAACACACTCAAATAGCTAGCTAGTCAAACTCGATGCGCATGTCCTTGAATTGCTAATAATTCTCTCTTGTCGAGAAGGATATTCGTTCAACTTATTTAATAGTTACATTACCTATTGTCGTATACATAAATAGTACGGAAACTCCATATATAATCGATGTACTTAATAATAATTATGACTACTAACTTTTAAGCGTGAACAAGAAACTACTCATAAAGAATGACCATCCTCTCTAAAGATGTTTATATAAATTAAATTGTAAAATCTTATTGAAGACTTACAAGTAATAAACTAAAATACATGATAACAAATTGAGCATTTGGAATCTTTCGTTATTTACTTTTTTCCACCTTACACACCCTACCAAGTTTTCCTCAAATAAGGAGAAAAACTTTTCAAAAGGAGAAAGTTAGAGAGAATGAACCAGCTGGAAATTAAAGTTCAAAAAATTATGCAAAGCAAATCATTTCCTAAATTGTTCTTCATTTACCACCTGCAAACACAAAAGAAAAAATCAGTTCATTTCCATCTTTCAATGTTAACAAATTATTGAAAATGTTATGGCTTTTCTATTTAACTATTTACTTATCGAAAGATATTGTAGGATCGACCTAAAACCGTTATATCTAAAAATCTTTTCATGATATTCGATTCGACCACCATCATTTATGTGAAGAGGGACGTCGTTGCACCTAACGTACACGAATTCTTGTATTTTTTATTTTCTTTTGTTGAAAGATAGGGAGGAAAAGAGAAGTTCACCTTCACCCTCACAAATTTTAGTGAAGAAAGATAGGAAAACAATTATCACTGCAACACCAGCTATGAGTCCAATTGTAACTGCTAGGGTTCTTTCCATGTCATCGTCATCATCTTCTTTATCTGGGATCAACAAAAACAAATATTTAATCGATTGGATTAACTTTTGAACAGGCCGGAAACCACCAGCCAAGGCGGTGCAGCCGCTTACCGCTTTTGGAGGAGTAGCCACTCTCCGAGAAGCGAGCGTAGCATTTGGCCAAGAACATGTCACCCCAAGTTGAAGATTGACACTCACTTTTCAACCGTCCGATCGCCTCCGATAAACAATCCTGGCACTCGCTCGTACTCAAATCCTGTACACACTGTGCTATACTCTGGGCTTTCCCGGACCCACCAATCCGAAAATACTGGCCTCCACCCGTCAGATAAGCCAGCAAGGCATCCCTCTGAGTCAACACCTCCGAGTCATACCCAATCGACGGCCCACATCTCTTGAACACAACAGTCTTGTCTTCATCCCCCAAGAATGATATATTATCGTACTTCACGAAACACCCATCCAGCTGCAACGCGCCACCCGACGCGCCACCACAGAGGGTCCCAATTCGACTCACTGCATACGTCACGCAGTCGTGGCAGTCGGAGTTACTGATGTCGCCACGGCACTGGAAGAGGGCGTAAACGACGTCGTTTTGGTCGGAGCCGGGGAGGGAAACCTTGAAATTGTTGTAGTTTGAGAAGGCAGCAGAGTTAACAAGGGATGCCAGGATTGAGTTAACGTTTGACTCGTAAGGCGTACCCGGGTTGTATTTGAGCTGAGAACAACCAGCATATACGAAAGATTGCAGAGAAGAAGCTGAAGGGTGTGCAAGAAATGAAAAAACTAGAAGATGACTCCAAATAGATAATACAGAAGAAATTTGTTGAGCATGCATGTTTATTTTCACCAGTTGTGTGTGAGTGTGTTTGAGATAGAGAAGGTGATGAAAGAATATATATATTTGAGGTGGGCGCGATCAGCCAAGTCGAGAATTACTGGGTATCTTGTAAGTAGAAATAGAATGAACTGAAAGGATTGAGACACGTAGGTTGAGCACGAATTTTTTTTGTTCTGTATCTTTCTGTGGTCTGGCTCGAGGTTATTTCAGAAGTTTTCATCGAGCTGGCTCAGGTTTACCAATCACAAGTTTCATGTTAAATGTGGTATGAATACTGAAAATCATGATCAAGGATTCATTTATCAACTGCCATCTGTTTCGGAGTTTTCATTCTCTAAGTCTTTGTTTCATAGGGATTAAAATCATTATTTTAGTATACATTTTGATCAAATTTAATGAAATATGTAATTGAAAAGTTGTGAATTCTATAAAATATATAGTTAAAATTAATTGATAACTTTAACTTAAAATAAAATTTTAATTTTAATTTCTACCGAGACGGAGCTAAGTATAAACGATAGAATATTAATCTAATAAAGGATTATTCGCACAAAACATTTTCACGTGACATTTTTTTCGACGTTTTCACCCATGTTTATATATTTCATCGCCAAAATCATCACTTTCATCCATTTTTTCAATGAAAAGGCTGTGAAATGATGAATATATCCTTTATTTAAATTAAAAAAAAAATTACAACTGTACTTCTAAATATTTTTAAAAAGTACAAACGAGTCCCAAATAAATTATTATAAAACCAAAATAAAATTAAAAACAAAATCATCATCTTCTTCCTCAACCCCTCCCCCCAACCCCATTCTTACCCCCAAATTGCAAATCAAAGCAAAAATCACTACCACCGAACAACAGTCACCACCACAAACCTATTGGAAAAAATGAATAAATGGTTCACTTTTGACACAATTTTCGGTCGGATTCGTTGGTCCAATTTGGAAGATCAAAATTGTTCTGTGTCTCCTCCGTGAGAGCATCAAAATCATATATTTACTTGCCAAAATTGATGAATGAGAAATTGGAGCTCAAAAAGTTGATCATTGGAAGATGGTTTATGTGGGAAAATTGGATTTGTCCCAAATACGAAAAAGAAGAAAGCATGAACCACTTTATATACGGCTATACTTTAGAAAGATGTAATCATATGTAATATAAAGACTCTCTCCACGTGCGCACGCAGAGGTGCAAATCAAGGACCGAAATAGCTTTCGGACCTTGAACTTGTGTGCGAGTGCGACCTGCATACACGAATGTCGGACCGAACGAAGTAAAAGTTGGCTCGTTTGGAGTGTCTACGTTTTGCAATTTTTTGCTTTTTCCAACTGACTATTGAGTTTCTGAAATTGCTAAAACTCCAGTAGAAACTGAAGTGACTCCAATGCTTATTGCCATAGAGTTAATGACAGATTTATCTTATATTAAGACTCATTTTTTAACAATTCTGATACACCAGAAAAACACACGAAAATATAGTATTACAGTTTGCATACACGAAAATATACTGCATATTATTGTTCTGTCTGCATTCGTCTTGGTGGTGATATTGTTCGAATATTAACTCAGTTCGCCGAAATAGTTTCTGCAGTGCTCAGATTCTACTAGTTTTACCGTTGTATCTTGGAAAACAGACGTTTGAATTAAATTTCAAACACTTATGTTGAGGGGGCGAATCTGTTTTAAATAATTGTGCTTGCACAGGCCTCAGGTTGAAGATTCATTTCTTATTTATTTATTTCCTAAATTTTTATCTTAATTGTTCAACTTGCAGATTCATATGCATTTATATTCTTTTTGTGCTTCATATATTTTAACGTTTATTTGCTGCTTATGTTAATAATAAAAATCTAAAAAACTTTTACTAACATTCGGTTTGATAAGTGCATATACGGTGTTCTGCAATTTCGATATCTATAAGTGCAAAAATAGAAATATAAAACTATGTATCTAATTTCACTGCATATACAGTATATGCAAAATCGGTATATACAAATACGGTAAATTGTTGCATATACGGTATGTCGGTGCAAATACAATATGTTGCTGCAAATACGGTAAACTGTTGCAAATATGGTACGCTACTTGTAAATACGGTATACATAAATCCAATATGTAAATTGTATATACGGTATGAATGAATTCAGTTTCATCCATACTAATAAATTCCAATAAACTTAAAATAGATTATAAGAAAAAAATTGGTTTTTATACTGTTAGTTTTTAGAAACTAATTTTTTTTGTTTGACTTTCAGAAATGGCAACCGAATCGACCAACATGGATGTAATCCAAACTGTGCCTATTGGCAATCAGGTTGTGGGTTCTACCGTGGCTTAAGGCCCTAGTTCTGTTGTGACTCAGACTGTGGCTAAATTGTCAAGTCATGTTGTGAGTCAAACTGTAGCTCCAACAACTGGTCATACCGTTAATATTTGGGTTAATCATTGAAAAAAATCAGAGAAATTCAATGGCTTGAATTTCAAAAAGTGGTAATAGAAAATACTATTTTACCCGACCACTTTGAATCTTTTGAGATTCTTGACTGAGATTGCTTCAAAACTCAATGAGGGTGAGAGAGATGTTTAAGCAATCAATGCACTCGATACTTAGAAGCATTCGAATTTTTTGTATCGAAAATATATTATGAACAACTTAGCAGACACAGTATACAATATGTATAATACTATGAGAACTGTTAAGGAGTTGTGGGAGTTTTTGGATCGAAATATAAAACTGAAGATACCGGGGCTAAAAAGTTTATTGTCGACAGATTCTTAAACTATAAAATGGTGGACTCCAAAACAGTTATCAATTAAGAGTAAGAACTCAAAGTGATTCTTCACGAAATTTATGCCGAAGGGATGATTTTGGGTAAAACTTTTCAAGTGGCTGCAATTATTGAAAAATTACCCCTGGCGTGGAAAAATTTCAAGAATTATTTGAAACACAAACGAAAGAAAATAAACGTCGAAAAACTAATTGTGAGACTTTGAATTGAAGAAGACAACAAGAGTTTTGAAAAAAAGCAGTTCAATCCTGGTGTGGCTAAAGCAAATGTTGTGGAGCTTGATCAAAGTAGTAAGACCTACAAAAACAAGTCTGAACCATCCGATGACAAAAGGATCAAGCAAGGACCGAAAGGTAGAACCATATCAAACTACTTGGTTCAAAATGTACATATGATCCGACTCGGTTATGTCCTAGTGAGAACCAAACTAAATTGGGTGGGTATGTATTGTTTTGTGGGGCGTCCCCAAGAGCCATCATGCTTGCATATTTAGGCCATGTTTGCTGGTCATTATAAGGAGAAATTGGGAAAAAAATGATGGTTTGAATCTATTCATGATAAGGATTATTGATAGTTATCTTATGTGACATACATATGGCAATTTATTATTTGATACGAGAAGTAATAAAAAATTATCACATTAATAAATAAATAAAAAAACCGTTACATATATGTCAAGTATGATGGTTATAGGTAGTCCTTACTATGAATATTATTAATATGATTTTTTGGAGAACGAGTAATTAAAAATAGAAAAAAAAATTTGGATTTATGTGTAAAATATTTTACTGTGTGAATATGTGGTTGAAAATTGACATGAAAAATAAAGGATATAAATAAAGAGAGTCAAACAAGGGCTTAATTTCTTGCTAAATGGTTTCTTTATATTGTAATGATTTGCAATTTGAATTAACTTGAGAATTATCTTGCCAAGTTGGACCAAATCAAAGGTCTAATTAATACTTGATTAGTTATTTCCACGTTTTATCCAGAAGTTGGTTCAATAGAGACACGACCAAGATGATTCAGAAAAACACTTACTTTGTATAAGTCACTATCAATTATAAGTCAATTTGGGATTGGTTAAAACGAATGATCTGGAATGTCAAAGTCATGCATAGCAGTTGAAATATCAAGTTTAAAGTTTCAAACAACTGTCAAATAAAATGAAACCGACAAAGGACAAGAGTTACAGATAAAATCGCAATGCCACTCAATATGAAAATAATATATAATGTATAAGACTGTTAATTTTAATAAAATCGATATTTTAAGATGTGATTCTGCAACCCAAAAAGTTTGACAAACAATTCATTCTATCTCCGGATTTCGAGATTGGTAATTTCAAATTAGCGATCTTCATGTAATAATATGAACTGAAACCACAAATTAGTACATAAATCGATCAATCTAAAACTCAAACGATTAATTCGATCCATTTAAATTGAATTTAAACGACTAGATTGACTTTGAGATATATTGATGATTTTACTATCTTGGATGACAAAACGACAATTTCGATTTTTTTTCCTTGTTTTTGATTTGTTGACGTGTTTTTTCATCGTTGATTTAATTAGACTTCAGTAGTATTTCTATTTTTGGTATGTTTAAAGGATGATTTCGTAAAGTTGATCAATTAATGTAGAAAGATTGTGATTCTGGTATATGCTCGAAAGATATTGTTTTGATATTATTATATTTTGAAGTAACATATATTTAAAAGCAATTAACGTGTTGTGTAACTAAGCTAGTCATAAATTTGCTTGTTGGTCATAAGTTACTCATAATCAATGTCTTGATTTTTTTCTATTTGATACATCTGAAGCCCAAAGCAGAGTAATTTTCTCATTATGATCCAATAAGCAGTTGCTACTTCTGGATTTTTGGATCAAGTCACTTACTGGGCTACTTTTTCCTGTTTCCATTAAAAATAGTACTCTTTATTATTATTATTATTATTATTATTATTATTATTATTTATTTTATTTTTTTATGTTGGATTGTTTCACCTGGCATGCTAGGCTAGCCTCAATGCCACGGACATAAAGTAGGGATGGATTTAACAGAGTTTTTTTTGGATAAGGTAAGTGTATTATATCCAAAGTGTAAAAATAAGTACAAATCACAGGGGCATACCCCAGAAAACAATGCTAGGAATTAATGTCTTCCTAACAACAATAGCAAAATTCTAGAAAGTGCTCATATCCTAATAACGAGAACAAAAAATATCTGTAGAAAATCCCCAAGAGCGTTGGAGCCATCTATTTTCATTAGATGGAATCAAGCTACTGTACAAGTTCACTCGTGCACAAATAGTAAAAACAATAGCTTGAATAACAATAGACTCATTTTTAGGAGCCTCCCCATGGGTCCTAGCATTTCGTTCACGCCAAATAGCATAAATCGAAGCCGCAAACATTAACCGGATAACGATAGAGGACAATGACCTCCCATGAAATTGTTCCATCTAAGAGAGAGAATCAAGCCAACTCCGTTGAACCCATGGCAAGTTACATTTCACATGCAGAGCATTCCAAACACGCTCAGAAAATGGGCATGCAAAGAAAAGATGATCCAAATCCTCCATTGAACATCCACATAGTACACAACGCATAGATTGAATCAAACCAAAGCTAAGAAGCTTTGTTTGTGTATAGATGCCACCTTGAATTGCTAACCAAAGGATAAATGCATGTCTTGGAATACATTTAGGGAACCATACAATGTGATACCAAGTCACCCTAGGGCAGCGCAGTCGAAGAGACTCCCAAGCACTCCGAACAGAGAAGACTCCATGTACATCATCCTCCCATCGCAATACATCCTCTCTATTACTGTCCGGCCGAAAAGTATCAAGCGTAGCTCGCATCAAATCAGACAAAGCTGGGGAGCGAACTGATGGCCATCTCCAAGTATCACCCTCAACAATATCAACCACCTTAGCAAGTCTACTCAATCTGGATTCACGAATGAACCTCTCTCCAAGAATCTTTTCTAAAGGGCCAAGAGGATGTCAATTATCATACCAAAGTGAGGCACTTCTACCATTCCCAATTTTGAATTTCATTTTGTCCCTCCCTATATCCCGGAGTCCAAGAATTTTCCTCCAACTCCAAGAGCAATCCCCAGGACATTTCAATTCCCAAATGCTCCGTCCTCTAAGTAAATAACAACTTGTCCACGAAATCCAAAGAGAGGAGGCAGAATCCGTACAAAGGGACCAAAGATGCTTTAACATGGCAGCCTTATTCCAAATCTTCAAGCCCCGCAGACCCAAACCACCCTCCTCCTTAGGCATATAGATTTTTGCCCAAGCCACTTTAGCCCCACCGGTGCCAAGGTCACTACCCTTCCACAAGAAGGCCCGCAATGAATTTTCCACTTGCTTGATCACAGCCTTAGGTAAAAGAAATACAGAGGACCAATAGACCTGAATAGAAAATAACACCGACTCAATAAGTTGTAACCTCCCTGTATAGGAGAGCGCTCGACAGGTCCAACTCTTAGCCCTAGCTATAATATGATCCACCAGCATCTTACAATCCAAAGCCCTCAATTTGGTAGAGATAAGCGGAACACCAAGATAACGTACCGGTAGCACGCCCTCCTTATACCCTAACACATCGAGCAACTGAACCTTAAGATATGTAGAAACACCACTGGCAAATAAATTACTCTTATCTGGATTAGGAATAAGTCCAGAAAGAGCTTTGAATCGATTAAGGCATTCCCCAATGAGCGAGAGAGAACCAACCTCAGCTCTACGAAAGACCATAAGATCATCAGCAAAACATAAGTGAGTGATCTTCTCCTTCTCACATCTCCAGTGGTATTTGAAGTCCTGTTCAGCAACCATCAACCCCATTAACCCTGAAAAGACGTCCATAGCCAAGACAAACAAGTAAGGCGACAAAGGATCTCCTTGTAGCAGACCTCGCCCACCAGCAAAGAATCCATGCAGCTCTTCATTAATGGAAATCGAAAATCGAGTGGTGGTGACACACTCAGAAATCCACCTAACAACTCTCTCGGGAAAACCAAGCACCATTAAAACTGCAAAGAGGAAATCCCAACGAACAGAATCATATGCTTTCATGAGATCAACTTTAAGAACACACCTAGGTAATCCTCCCCTGCAGTGATAATTCCTCAACAACTCTTGGGAAAGAAGGATATTATCACTAATATGCCTACCTTTAACAAAAGCAGTTTGTTGAGCTCCAACAATGTCTGGGAGCACTATTTTAACTCTATTGGCAATCAGCTTAGCAATACATTTATAAATAGTATTACAACAAGAGATAGGCCTAAAATCCTTTACCTGAGAAGGATTTGGAACCTTAGGAACCAATGCGATTGTTGTAGCATTAACCTGCTTCAATAGTTGCCCCGAGTCAAAGAAGGACTTGATGGCACATAGAACATCATTTCCCACAATACTCCAAGTCCTCTTGAAGAAACCTGCATTTAAACCATTTGGTCCTAGAGCTTTGTTGTCTTTCAACGAGAACAAGACCTCTTTAATTTCCTCAAATGACACATCTCTATCAAGATTTTCATTGTGCTCTGCTGAGATGCTCTTTGGAAGAGCTTTTCGAAGCAAGTCCATATCTAGACTCTCACCACTACACTGCTGACCAAGGAGGTTTTGATAGAACGCAACAATGACTTCACTGACCTCATGCGGCTCCTCCACTCTGGTACCATCGTCTTTACAAATAGAAACCACCTTACTCTTGCCATAATGACTTTTCATAGCCTTGAAGAAGAACGCAGTGTTCTGGTCGCCTAAATTCAGCCACTTAACACGAGCTTTTTGTCTAAAAAAACCTTCTTCAGCCCTGCTCAACTCACAAAGTTTCTTTTGTAATCGAGCCTCCTCCCTATGTAGAGACGAATCCAAAGGAGATTGCTGAATCAAACACTGAACATGCTCTATATCAATTCGAGCTTGAGTAACTCTCGTAGGAAGTTCTGAAAAATGCTCCTTATTAAAGTCTTTCAAGGCAAGCTTTAGCTTCTTCAACTTTGAACACAGACAAAACATAGGGGTACCCACTACTGATTCACCCCAAACCTGAGCCACCAAAGGAAAAAAATCCGAATGATCCATCCAATAATCAAAGAAGCGGAATGGAATCTTCCTACGCGGTAACTCTGCAACCTTCACAACCATAGGCAAATGATCCGACACACCAGCAGTTAGAAATGTAGCTGACGATCCCGAAAATTCCTCCTCCTACTTCGAATTCACCAATACACGATCTAGTTTCTTGAGAGTAGGATCAGATACCTGCTTATTAGACCATATATATAAACAACCATCAAGCTTTAAATCGGCCAACCCCACTGTTGTCATGCAATTCCCAAGATCATCTTGCCATGCAGGCCAAGAAGAAGAACCACCTGCCACTTCTAAAGGGGAGACAACAGAATTGAAGTCCCCCATGACCACCCATGGCAAGTGTGCAAAACCTCCACACCTAGCTATGAAGTCATCCCATAGATCAACACGCTTAACTGGGATATTATCCCCATATACCACTGACACCACACAACTCCATTTACCATTACATGCATTTACACGAACATGGATAGCTTGAGCAGAGCAACCTACCAACAAGACATCTACATCAATTGGATTCCAACAAACCCAAATTCTACCAATCGGAGAACAATTATAGTTCGAAAGGACACTCTAAGAGTTGAAGATGGCATTCGCCACCTTATTTTGATTCTTCTCCTTAACTTTAGTTTCCACTAAACCACATAAAGAAAGTTTATTGGAAGTAATAAGGTTCTTTACTTCAGATTGTTTGACGGGGTCGTTTAACCCTCTGACATTCCAACATCTAAATAACATAATTAAAGTCAATAAAAAGAATCACAACCTCAAAATGACTAGCGCCAATCACAACCTCAAAATGACTAGCGCCATCTACCTCCCCTAGGGGAGTGATGCTTTTTACCTTTCTTATGTTTGCCTCCTAACCCATTCTTCTTTTTCTGAAGTGAATCTCTAGCTTTCATAGCTAACGTGTTAGACTGAGGAACAGAAGTATCACTATCATCTTCATCTAGAGTGGCAAGAGGTTCTGGAGAAACTTCACCTACTTCTCCAATTTGAGAAGTCTCAATAGGCACAAACGACACCTCCTGATGCAAATTAGGAGCACTAGGTGAAGATGATTTATCAACATCTACATGAGCCACATTGGCAACCACCAGATCAACCTCTCCCTGGACCTCCTTAGAAATAGGTACAGCAACCCCATTATCAACACTAACTATCGACTTTCTCTTATGTGAGACATGGGTCCATTCATCCTCAATAGGTGGTTTCTCATTAGCTACACCACTTTGTCCAGCCTTATCTTTAGCAACCCAAACCTTGGCAAGCTTACCCTTACTCTCACTAGGCATGGTTTGAGAAGAGCAATTGTGGCCAAATACCCCACACTTCGAACATTTAATTGGAACCCATTCAAACTCAGCACGAATAGTTATCCAATCCCCATTCGCACAACGGAAATCGAATTCCTCCACTAACTCATCCAATGCATTAATCTCAACACAAACACGTGCATAGCTGAGACGTTTACATGTAAGAGTGATGACATCTGCCCGTAAAGGACGCCCCACAGCACTAGCTACATGACTCAATCCCTTCGTTGTCCAGTACTCAAAGGGAATATTATAAAGCTTCACCCAAACAGGAATGCAACGCAGATTCTCCTTAGCCAGAGTCATATTAGGTTCCCAACGCTTCAGAATAAGTGGCCTGTTAGCCATATGCCAAGGCGCTCCTTCAAGAACTAAAACAGCTTGACGGAGTGAATCAAACTTGAAAAAATAGAACCCAGCATCTGAGGATAAAACCTCCTGAAGACCAAATTTGCCCCACAATTTATGCGCAATAGAATTCACAACGGGAAAAGCTAATTTCTTGCCCACAAAGGAGCCAACCAAAGTCGTCCTCCACACTGCAAAAGATAATTACTTCTACAAAGTGTTTTATGTAACTTAGCATGAAATGAATAATATGGAATTATGGAATGAATTGGAATCACAAATACACATCAAAGGGGTTCTATATATAGAAGATGAAGAGTTGTGGGTGAAAGGACACATCCCAGATCCAGCTTTTTTCATGGAAATTTGCAACACTTCATTTCGAAAAATTGCAATACTTCATTATTCATACTTTGGACTGCAATTTCTCATTCATCCGAAATTGGTTTCGAGATTCTAAATATACCACGACGATCTATTCGACAAGTATATTAAGTTTGCCTATTTACTTTTGTAATTTGATCATCGGATCAAGTTCAAACATTCGACCGAAGTTGACACGAAGTCACACCTTTTCATTTTCCTAATTTTACTATTAACCAATTTTTGATTAATTTTTTAACAAATTCCAACAAAAATTGCCAGTTTATTGATTCTATGGTAAATTTCAATGGAGGTAATTGGATGGGAAATTGGAGGAAAGGGAATTGAAAAATCTATAAAAATTTCAAAGCAGTTTTAGGGGTGGGATGGGAGATTTGGAGAAGAATATGATGAAAGGTTTGGGTTTGTGATTGACACAAATGAAAGATTTAGATATAATCCGCAATAGATGAAAATTTTGAGGTCTCAACAGCAATTATCCCTTTAATTGTAGATGGATTTAATGCCTCTACTAACAGATTTGGACGATTGGGATCTTCCACACATAAAAGCTCATTTAGAGAGTTTTTCGCCAATCTGAAAAGATATACAAGTATTCCATAATAGAAGCAAAGATTATGGGAGTTTTGCGCCAATTACCTTTTTATAAATTATAGTGGTTGAGTGATCCTTTAAGTGAAGAACAATTTTAATGAAATGATCTTAAATGTACACGTAGTAAGACACTTGGCTGATCTCTCTCTTTTTTTTTTTTTTTTAAAATAAATATATTGAATAACTGATTTACACACTCTCGTTATTCCATAAAGGGGATATCTTTCCTTTGCAATTTATTTGACGTTTTTTCGTTGACACATTTTTCATTGTTGACTTAATTAGACTTCAATGGTATTTGACTTTTTTTGGTATGTTTGAAGGAAGATTGTGTAAGTTAATCAAATGTTGAAAGTAGGTGATGCTGGTATGTGTTCGAAAGCTAATGTTTTAATATTTTAATATTTTTATATTTTGAATTAACATATCGAGCAATGTTCGGATAAATTCTGCAAACATATGAGATTGATAACAAGTAAATGAGTAGAGTACTGTCCTACGGGTAATAATTTCTAATTCAATTGTATTTTTTTTTTTATCAAATTCGAATTGTTGTAACACAAAAGAGATTATGTTGTAATTATTCTAAGAATTATGTAAAAAAAAAAACATTAGATTTTATCAAATTACGGAATGAATGTATTGGATTTAGAATTCACTTATTGTTATCTATTTCTAATTCTCAACTATATAGTTTAGTGTTATTCATATATTCATGATAATTGATAATCCTCTTATATTCAATTCCCCCCACCCCCCAACAAAATAAGTCAACTCTAATCTAAACATGATCCGATCATATTCATTGTTCGAATTCATATGAATATAACACATATCATATATGTTATTTTTAGTATTGATTATTCATGCGTTAATCATGCAGTGTTTTACTTATTGAGCCTCTCAAAACTATAACAAGTAACTAATTATACAAATGTTGTGCATTATTCAAAAATGCAACGAGCATACAAGATTAATCAAGAAGCACAAGAATTATTAAACTACATGTCTTTGAATTAAAAATAAATAAACAAATGGTTCATCTCATCCAATAAAAACGAGGATATAGCCCAGCATAATTATATGTGAATTACACAAAGAATTGCGAAAGGACATCACCTAGGTCATAGAAGAATATAAAAATCTTAATGGAGAATCAATATCTTGATTTCGATCGTAAATCTTCAAATTCTTGTATAAATTATCTTGAATTCCTTGCTAGCTTTGATCCTCTCTCTCAAAATTGTGTGAATTGGTCCCTTCTTCTTAATGAATATGAACTAAGAACCCAACAAGAAATCCCCTAATTTCTATCCCATGTTCTGTACCTAAAAATTAGGACAAAATCGCATGAAATTGGCTTCCAAAAAGTTCTTTCCGCTAAGGAAAAAAAAAAAACTAACCAACCATATTGGCCGAAATATAGCCCACGTGCGCGCGTCGTACATCCTCTCGTGCACGCATCATGAGGCCATGTTGGTCTCCGGTTTGGTGAAAACCCAAGCGGCTAAATTTATAATATGGTCCCTAAATTTTCAGAATGTGCATTGTGATCCTTATTTTGTTTCTTTTCTGTCATTTGCCTTTCCATTGCATCCAATTGACCCCCAGACCTCTCCAATCACCGTTTTGTGGTACGAAATAACTATTGAATATTTTCATTTTTGTCCTCAAACTTTGAATTTCTTCCTTTTCGTCCATTTTTTTGTTTATTTCTTCTAATTCCACCGTTTTGCATCAAGTTTTACTTATCGAATAAGATTAACGCAAAATTAAGTCATAATTCATCCAAATTAATAACAAATATTTCAAATGAATGGCCTAAATAAGTGTACAAAAAATACATTTATCAAGTAAAATATATTTAAAAGAAATCAACGTGATGTGTTACTAAGTTACTCATAAATTTGTAATTTGATCATAATCAGCGTCTTGATTTTCTTCTATTTGAAACCTTTGAAGCTCAAGCAGAGTAATTTCTCATTCTTTTCTAATAAACCAGTTGCTACTTTTGGATTTTTGGATCAAGTAACTTAATGGGCTGCTATTTTCATTAAAATAGTATAATCTTCTTTCTTTTTCTGGATGGTTTCACTTCGACCTGAAATCCATGCATTACATAAATATTCATATATGAACTTGGGAGATTGTTATTACGCCTCGCATGACGATGCTTCATTCAAAGGCACATGGCAAAGGAACGCGTCGGTGAAGTGGCGATCTTAGTTGGACCTGTTTTGCATCCGAACGATGTTGATGGACCGAACCTATTGGTGGTAATTGACCCGTGTTGTCAGGGCGGTTAGCAGAGGCTCTCATGAGGAGATCTTCATGTAAAGATTCTGTGGCAAGTGGGGTGATGTGATAACTCATTGAAACGCCTGCTCCACTTAGCCAGCAAGTCTAGACTAGTCTTACGTGGCAAGCCTAAAGCTGTAAAACCTCTATTACACTCAATGCAATATGGCCTAGGAGTGATTGATTGACATCAACGATGAGAGAATCTAGCCGCAGGGATGAGGTCACGCACATCTTCATCCAATGGTCTACATTTGCCATCCTTTACTAAAAAAGCTCCTAGTTTGCTCCATCAAAGGGTAATGTTAGTTTGATACAAGAATCCTTCCCTATATTGTCTTATGTTGCATGTCCAGTTCCTAACCCTTTCTTCTACTTGATATATATTTGTGCCTCAAACGTGCCCTACATTCAATTATACATATTCAATCATACTGACTTGATTGTCGGAGTGTCTGTGGCTATCCCCCACCATCGGAGTTTGGCCATACGTTCTAACGAGTTGTCCAAGTGTGTAGGATGAAAGCTCGCATGAGCATTGCTGGAGTTAGAATCTATTGACTATGCCACCTCTACAAAAAGTGGGGTCAACAGGGCATATGGTGATGTGATTCTTCGAAGAGGAAAAAAGACTTATTCGATGCCCGTTTATTCCATTTTAAGTAAGTTAACAATATAATATTGCGTATTACTAAAATGTAAAATAAAATAACAAAAAACAAGTAAAATAGCAACACATGTATGTCACTAAATGTAAAATATGGAAATAGAGTAAAAAATAAATAAAAAATAAAACTGCAATATTGATAATGTTACTCAATGTAAAATAACAAAGTAAAGTTGCGGGGAAATATTTTTCAAGTTTCAAAGGAAGGTGGGTAGTTGTGCAATTATCCCTTTGTATTTCAAAGGCGTGCTTCTAATGTTTTATAAGTACTGGAGATACAAATTTCGATAAATTAAGCCATCATTTAGATACATATTTAATCTTAATCACACACTCATAAATTAAGAAAACAATACAATTTTAACTCACGAAGATAAGAGATTATAAAGTTGTCTATTGTTTTGTAAATGGGTATTTGGCGCAAAATCTCCTTATTCTTTGTCTCTATTGCGAAATATCCGATATCCTTTCAAATTGGCAGAAAATCCTCCTAGATGATTTTTTACGTGTGAAAAAGGCCCTCTATTGTCCATTCCATTAGTTGAGGTATTAGATCCAGCCAAAATTAAAAAGGAATAAATGCAGCCTGAATCCCAAACCTTTCAGATTATTATTATTATTATTAATTTTGTCTGAATTAACTTCTATACTAATGAATTTGGATAGCAGCGAGACTTCTATATGTAAAAGGTCATTTAAGGGAGTTTTCTGCCTATTTGAAAGGATGATGGAGTATTCCGCAATAGAAATAAAGGTTGCGGCGATTTTGCATCAATTACTCTTTTGTTAATTATAGTGGTTCAATGATCCTTTTAGTAAAGAACAATTTTAATGAATGAAACGATTTCAAATGTACACTTAACTGATCTATTTTTGATATTTTGAAGAACTGATTTACAAACTCTCCTTATTCCATTTTAAGCGGATTTCGTCAATTCAATTTTGCTTCAACGTCAATTTCAATCAAATGTAGCGTAATTAGAGAAAATTGGCAAAGTATACTTCCACAACCATCAATTTGTTGGCCCACCTATCGAATTCTTCCACGTGTCACATTGCTCAGGCTTCACGTTTAAGCCTGCCGGCGGCCGACCCTCAACAAACTTAACCGCCTCTGATTTATTTAACCATTTGACATCGTATTCCAATTTATGACTTTGTAATTCTTGCCCCCTGGATTTTGTGTAATTCACTGAAATGCCCTTGACCGTTGTTACCTAAAGTCGGTTGGTTAATTGTTTGGTCAACCAATTTTTATGTTTGAATTACTTTAAAAAAGGGAAGTCTAACACCACTTTGTAAATAATCAAAAACATTTATTAGGCTAATTACAATATTAGACAAATATTTAATATTTCGTGCCTTTTTGACTATGATAATAATCAAAGTAGCGTAAGAATCTGATACTTTGAAAATG